CAATCCTGAAAATGGTGAATAGGACAATAGTGGAAAAGACGGCCTGGATTTTTGGGCGTATTAGATAACATAAATTTATACTTATTCTGGCATAACGGGCAAAAAAATGCCTCGTAACGCAAATAACTGGTGCTGTTGGTGTTGTTACTGCTGCTCCAGCTTGACATTTTCTTAGTAATGGAGAAGAAAATAATCCACAAGACCGGTTTGTGGGATTTTATACAGAATAAAAAACGGATGTGCAAATTCCGTTTTTTGTGTTAGCTTAAAAACGGATTTTGAAATTTTGTTTTTATTACTTTATTTTTTTCCCAAAAACTTGTAATAATACACTTAACACATATTACAGATTACATTTATCACACAAACAGAACCAAACATCCTACTAAGATAACAATAATACATCTAAATACAAACCAAATTGATCGTCCAAATACATCTATTACACAAACAGAATCAAACATCCTACTAAGATAACAATAATACATCCAAACAGAACCAAACATGCTAAATTAATCAACATAACAGAGGGATTCAGTCCTATTCAATATTTTCGAAACCATCTGCGTCCCAGTTCACTTCCAATCTCATCCGATCAGCTCTGCGGTGCGAACGATGACATTCCCTTGTCAAATGATCTTGACTACCGCATCTCCTACATCTTCTGCGTCCACTCCTGCCCTGATAATCCATTGATATCAAGAATCGCCGCTGTTGTTGACGACCTACAGCATTATACAGAACTAGATGATATAATCAGGAACAAGGTTCCACCCTGGAGACACCCATTCTTCTCTTCTTGGGACGGGAACAAATCTGGAATGACGAAACTGCTCACGCCATGTGCTCGTCTTATAACATTCATGTATTATGTTTTCTGGGTGATCACCAATCCACCTGGATACAGCCAATTCGTGTGAACAAGGAAGCCTGTATGTCTGCCACTTCTTGCATGTATAACGCCAATCCCTGTATTCTACTTTGTGTTGATTTCCCCCTTTCCCTATACGGCGCCAACCTGTAATGACCCTATACACTTGGTTCTGTCTATCGTATTCCTCCACCTTATGAGTTGCGGCTCTGTTCTCGTACTTACAGAATTTCTTCCAATACTTATCTCCGATAGGAGTATTGCACTTTAAGGCATCCACATACTAATCACGAAAGAACTTAATTGTCTTGGCCAATGTCTCTGCCACTATAGCTCTAATGGGTAAAAATCGAACACCCTTCAGAACATTATTGTAACTCTCAGATATATTTATTGTCAGGATGCCCCAACGTGCATAATCGAGATCGTATGCAAGACTCCACCTCCCTTTCGGAATAGCATTCATAGAAGTAAGACCTGCTTCGTTACACTTTCTCAGTTGTTGCTGGAATTTTAGAAACTTGTGATTTTGTAGCTTCTTGCCCATTTTCCAACACACCAAATTGGTTCGCGCAGGTTGATTTCTGTGTTTCGCCACCATGTTGCTTCGAACATGTCAAAGACAATACCTATGGTATCCATAATACGGTTCTTGCCACAGATCGACATTATTTTTCAGTGCACTGATTATCCCCTTATGCCGATTTGATATAAGACATGTGATTCTGTCGTATAAAACATGAACACTCAAATTACAGAGAAAAAATGACCAACTATCCTCGCTCTCCTCATCCACAAGTGCAAAAACAATGGGCATGATATGGTTGTTAGCAGTTTTCACCATTGCTACAAGAAGCTTACCCTTGTACTGCCCACGAAGGTGTGTGCCATCAATAATCACAACAAGTTGACACTTATGAAATGTTGCAATGGACGGACCAAATGCCCAGAAAACATATTTGAATCCCGATGTTCATCATTTTCAGTCCCAGGCTGCCATTTTTACTCAACAACTGTGTCATGATTAGACTTCTGTAGTGCGGCCATGTACCTATCATATATACAAAACAGTCCAATAAAAAATCTAAGTAATTCCCTACTAAAACAGTTTAACATTTGCATAATCAGTCCAACATAAACAAAAACAGTTCAGAATTTCTATACTAAGATAGTCTAAATTCCACCAACAGTCCAGCATTTATAAAACAGTTCAAGACAAGAAAAATAACATAAATAATAAATTATTAATTCTTACCATGGTAATTCAGTGAAATTATCGATCCAGTTACCTTAACACGCTTCGATGGCTTTCCTTCTTGCATGCCATGCCTTCTTGTACTTCACATCCACATTATAAGCTTTCTTCACAGCATCCCTGATTGACTTCACCTCGAAACCAGGATCAGTTTCAACATCACGCCTTATAAGTTTGGCTATTAATTTCGACTTCAAGTTGTGATGGACGCATTCTCCAAACACAAGTAGATTGCCCAATTGGAGTTTCCATTCATCTTGTCGTGCACTCTGCAGCCCATGACTTACCGCCAGAAACAGTCACATTATATTGCCTGTTGTGATGTATGCTCCAGTCCTCGATAGTTGTCTCAACTTCATCCCTGTTATTGAAACATATATCCCAATCAAGGTTTTCTCTTTCACCTTTCCACATCTTAACTGCAAATTCATCTCGGTCCACTACACTGTTTTTATAATCACCAATGTCTGAATATACATACTGGCCTAAATCGGAAGTGACGAACTTCTGCACTGGTTTTGCTTCTTGTTGTTCTTCTTCTAAATCAGTTTCGTCCGACATATCAGTTTGGTAGTCAACTTCTTCTTCGTTTTCTACATAAGTCCCGTCTGATTCTTCATCCTCATCTGATGAATCAAAGTCATCATGTTGACCCTCGCCTTGTCCCTTAGCAACGTATCCATCGCCGCTGCTCCTGCTAAGCCCTCCTTCTGGATGTTGAGAATTATTCCTCGAGTATTGCTGTTGCGACCTTGTGCTAGGCCCTGATTCTGCATGTTGAGAATTATTCACCCAGTATTGTTGTTGCGACCCAAATGTGCTAGGCCCTGCTTCTGCATATTGAGAATTATTCACCCAATATTGCTGTTGTGACCCAAATGTATCATCCTATTTTTGTCCAGACAGATCTAACAAATTTTGGGCATGCACCATGTCTTCATTTTCAATATATAGCTCCAAATATGATGAACCTGAAAAGTAATAAATAATTTCCGCCGACGAGTCGTCCGTAATTGTGGCGCTTCATCTTACACCGTTGTTTTCAAACAACAAATTAATTCTCAGATTTACGTAATCTCTATCCTAACCCGCCTTATCACAAATTCTGCCCAATAACTCAGAGTACGACAGCCTGCGCTCAATAACTAATGTTGCATCTGCTCTGTAATCAAATGTTCTGATCGAGCCATCCTCTACAACATATTTATTTCTCCAGTACATATTAATAAAATATGAAACATTCCACGTCATTTTTCCTGTCATAAATATAATAATTCCTATTAAAACAGTCCAGATTTTTTCAATGAAAAAAATTTAAAAAACAGTCCAGTAATTTCCTCATAAACCAGTCCAGATTTGCATAAACAGTCCAGTATTTAAAAAACATTCCAGATTTGCATAAACAGTCTAACATTTAAAAAACAAGCTAGTAATTTCCGAATACAACAGTCCAGATTTCCATCAAACACTCCAGCATTTAACAAATAGTCCAAATTTACATAAACAGTCCAGTATTTAAAAAAATAGTCCAGATTTGCATAAACAGTCCAGCATTTAAAAAAAAGTCCAGATTTCTTAATAAAACAGTCCAAATTGAATTTCTTAATAAATTTAATATTTTTATGCTGAATAATCTATTTGAAATTTAATAATCACAATAATTAATTAATTTAATAAAATACGGTTAAAGGAAACAAATAACATCAACAAAGGTATTAACCTTGACGATAACGATTTTCAGGCGTAAAAAACAAGTTCAAACTGGCTGGATCTTCATATTTTTTTCTTCCCGTTCAAAACCTTAAAGATCTGTGAACATTGTCAATTCTTAATCATATATAAACCTATAAACGGATGTTACAATTTCATTTTTTATTATTAAAGCCTGCTACCACAGTGATTCGTACAGTTTATCAGTGTCAGTCTAATAATAAACCTGACAAACAGACAACTACAAAACGGATTTCCATTTTCCGTTTTTATATTATATATAAACCTAAAAACGGATGTTACAAATCCATTTTTATGCTTAAAGCCTGCACCACAGTGATTCGTACAGTTTATCAGTGTCAGACCAATAACAAATCTGACAAACAGTCAACTATTAAACGGATTTCCATTTTCCGGTTTTTATGCAGGATAAAAATGGAATTTCTATTTCCGTTTGATTGATTTTCCCAATATTTCCAACTATTTTTATTTTCAGCGAAATTGTTTTTTCTAATTTTAAGAATTTTAAAAATAGAAAAAGGAAAACGGATGATGGAATTCCGTTTTTCAAATAACAGTTAATAAAACGGAAAATTCATTTCCGGCATATACTTTCAGGACCATAAAAAAAATTAAAATAAAAATTTCTTCCCCTTTTTTCTGGCATTTATTTAGGGAAAAGGGCACAATGCCTTGAAAATGGTCTACTTATTTTTTTTAAACAATATCTATATATAAGGTCGAAATACTTACGCTATTACATTATATTTTTGAATAAGCTATATTATGTAATTCTCGAACATCATTTTCACTAATTTTAACTAAATATAAGATTGAAATGTAAAAATAACTTGGCATAACATAAGTATAATTTCCTGTCGTTGAGTCACAGTTAATATCGCACAATCTATGTGTATAATCACATTCCATAAACCAAAAGCTGAAGTTTCTTGGAGAGCCATAAGACATGTCAAAGTTTCTACTTGGAAGGCGGAGATCTTAGTTTGATCAAATGAGAATTAGTTTTGTATAAAAAAAAAAGCAAATTTAAAATAGGTTGTACTAGTTTATTATTTAATTTTTATTATTTTGTTGTAACGAAATAATGTAACGAAAAAACCATAATAATAATGATAAGTTGAAGAAAAAGGAAATTTCCCGCGGAAAATCAATCGAACTCATGAATCAATGAAGAAGTGGGCATTTCGTTTCAACCCTAATATCCAAAATTTACAGTCACCCGGATCAATGGCGGAACCGCCAGCCACCACCCTTAACGACCTAACAAACGATCTCCTCATCCACATCCTCTCGTTTCTGCCGCTCCTTTCCGCCATTGAAACTATCCCGCAAGTGGCGGAATCTGTGGCATTCCCTTCCTTCCCTCAGATTCGATATCACAAGATTCAAACCTGCTTCATCTTACTCTTCCATTTATGAATATCAGCAAAGCTTTGTCGAATTCATCACCCAAGCCCTTCTCAAAAGCCCAACCACCATCCCACTTCGTGATTTCTACTTGAGTCTTTATTACTCCTCCAATCATCGCCACCGATCACTGGTTTCATCGTTCATCCGTTACGCCCTAGACCGCAACGTTGATGACTTGAGCATCTTATTCTCCGGTGAAGAGGGCCACGAGACTGAGGAGAAACTACTCAATGATTTTCATTTTTGTGATCTGAGGAACACATCTGTTAAGTGTTTGTTATTATGCGCCTGTGAAGTTATTATGCCTTCTAAGACTCTAACTCGTTTTGTTTAAGGTAAGCATTTGGTTAGAATATACCTATATGTAGTATCCCTACTTTTAAAAGCATATAAACTTTTCAGTTGTGAAAAATATCGTTTTGCTGGTTGCTATCTCTCTGAAAAAAAGCGGGGGAAAATGAAGAGGGAGGATATAATATACTTGTTGTTTGGCCAGAGCTTTTAGCACATCTCTGCCATTGCCTATTGGTTCTTGGAATGTTGCGTTAGTAGCGAGTTTAGGGCCAGGGGATACTCCTGGCATTGAGTCACTGCATTTGGTCAACATGATTGTAAGTTATGGGCTGCTGTTTAGACATCTGTTCCACATGTTTCTTTCTTGTTTCAGTATTCAACCATTTCATATGTGACTTTACGGTTTTAGTCCCTTAAGTATCTAACAGATAATTTTAGCACCAACAGTTCCCCATTCACATATGATACTGAAACATCCTTTCAAGCATTTTATACCGCACTCAAAGTCTCAATCTAATGTAATTTTCTCAAAATCACAAGAATTCCATCTAATTAAGTTTTGGGAAATTAGTAGCTACTACATCAAAATACAACGAGGGAATTTTTTTTTTATTATCTAATTTATAGTAGCTGAATTTCAAGAGTCGAAAATGAAAGGATGGAACTGAGATGTTTATTAGAAATTAACATAACGAGATCTAAATCTGAAAAAAGATTATGAACCAAAAGTACATTTTTTTCCCCATACATCGTGTATTATCTCACAAAAAAAAAAAAAAGAAGAAAAAAACTATCAAGTGACACCAATACACAGGAAGCAATTTATAAAGAGAGAAAAAAAAAAAAGAGCTACACCATTATTCGGGTTTCATAAAATAATACATTACCAATCTTACTTTTATATTTTATTTAATCTCAATGTCATTTCAATTGATTTGACTGTTATTTAATGTGATTTAATCGGTACAAGTATGTCACTAACGTAAGGTAGATAAGGAAGCCGTCATTTAACTAGTGTTATTATTGAGAGGGTACTTTCCCTAAAATTAAAATTCAGTTTAGATGATTATATAGTTTAGAAGGTTGTATTATTGTGAGTTAAAACATAGATATTTTTATGTCGTAGGTGACTTGTCTACATTCTAGATTGGGATAACCAAGTCGTCCTTTTTGACCTATCCAATTTAAAATTTCATTTTTGTTCAAATTGTATTAATAATATTAGAAATTTTGACCAAACAATAATTTTGAGATGAAGGCAATAAGGAAATTATATCTCTTAATTTCAAAATCATTCTCTTCGATTTCTTCATCTTTAAAAAAATGCAAATATCATAATTTTGAGATGCACGGATTATAAAAGTTTCGTAAAATTCGAGAGAAAGTCAGTCCTAATCATCCGCATTTGTAAGCTCTAATAATCAAAGCCCATCTAATAAGTGCTAATAGCATTCATTGAATGAGTAGTTCATATCCGGTTGAGCATCTAAGTAAGCCCACATCTTTTTATCTCTTCCAAGAAAATGTAAGCCCACCAGAGCCCAGTTAACATTAGGGTCACTTTGTCATCATCGTCAGTCACTATAAAAACCCTCTGCAAAACCTCTCAAAAACCCTAAATCAGGGCATTTGCGGAACAAAAATTGGTTGGAGCTGCAAACGCTTCTGATCTCGCAGATTCTTTAATCGCCGCCTCCAGTTTCGGAAGCGCTGCGAAATCGCTTGTCCCCAATCATGGCTGCTCAGATGAGCAAGAAGAAGAAGTTTGTGGCGGATGGAGTGTTCTTCGCGGAGCTGAATGAGTTGGACCCGTGAGCTGGCGGAGGATGGCTACGCCGGTGTGGAGGTCAGGGTTACTCCCATGAAAACTGAAATCATCGTCAGAGCCACTCGCACTCAGAATGTTCTTGGTAATTAACTCTTCTTCCTCAATTCTGCTTTTCAATTTTCCAAGCTTTAATATTAACTAGTTCTATATTACTTTATAGGGATATTTTTGTGTTATTTAAAGTTTGTTGGGCATTTTTGTTTAGGTGAGAAGGGTAGAAGGATTAGAGAGCTTACTTCACTGGTGCAGAAGAGATTCAAATTCCCAGAGAATAGCGTTGAGTTGTTTGCCGAGAGAGTTAACAGTTAAGCACTTTGTGCGGTTGCACTAGCTGAGTCTATTCGTTACAAGTTGCTTGGTAGCCTCCCCGTCAGGAGGTATATTTTCCTTCGTAATTTGTTAACTTTGACAGTGTTGATGCTCACCATTTTCCGGATAGTAATTATATAATCATTATGACATGATGTGTTATGTTTTCTAAGAAATGAAAATGAAATCTGGTTGATTTTGTGCTCCCCGTGTAGATTATTTGTTGTAATTTTGTAGTGTGTTAGTTTGAAATTTGTCATCCACAAAGCAGATTGGTGTTTTGATACCAATTTAGTGTCGGATGATGACTAGAGAAATTCTTGTCTTCTTTGACATTGTCATCCTCATGAAACTTTCCTGTGTTCGTGCAGCAATGTCTTAGATGACACATAGATCTTCTGCAATTGCTTTATTTTTAAAGGGTTTCTGGCTCTGTTTTGTAGTTGTGCAAATGTTTTTGCAAAGGTGTGGCTGATAAGTGAGAGTAACTGTGTCAGCATGCTTTTAAGATATTTGTCATCGAAAAAGCAGATTGGTATTTCTAGTACCAATACTGTGTCGGATGATGCCCTGAAGAAGCTTATCCTCTAGGCTATAATTCTCTGAAGTATATGAGTCATGAAGTAAACTTTGAGAGGATAAATCTGTGTTGACATACCACATTGAATGTAGTTAACTATAGTTAATAGCTATTAACCTAATTTGCTATTTTGCGTGATTCCTTGCTAAACCAACATCATTAGACGCATTGTAGTAGTTATCTAGATATAAGAGATTTGTATGAGAAACTGAATTTGAGGAATTCTATATATCTATCAATGTAAATCTGTATCTTTTTCACACAGGGAAGTAGGATTTTTATGTGTTTGAAGCGTGTGATGTGATGTTCCCGTTTTTCTTTGGCTCCGCTAGTTACCAAAATACTGTCTGATATCTTGTTCGGTCTTGTCTGTTTCAGGGCGTGTGGTGGTGTAATGCGTTTGGCTAGGGAGAATGGGGCCAAGGGGGTTGAGTTACTACATTTAGAGGCTTTGGGCCCTGTATTTCTGCTGCTTTCAATGTTTCATTAGTTAAAGTTTGATTGTTGATAATATTACAGATCATTATCAGCGGAAAACCGAGGGCTCAACGTGCTAAATCAATGAAATTTAAAGATGGTTACATGATCTCTTCTGGTCAGCCAGTCAGGGACTATGTTGATTCTGCTGTGAGGCATGTTCTTCTACGACAGGGAGTACTTGGTATCAAGGTCAAAATCATGCTTGAGTGGGATCCGAAGGGAAAGATGGGGCCGGTAACTCCCCTCCCAGATTTTGTCACAATTCTTTCCCCCAAAGAGGAGAAAGAGTACATCAGGCCTGCCGCACTTCCTCTCCCTGAAGTTGCAGTTCAGGCGTAGATAAAAAGAATAGTTCTCTTCTTTTAAGTGGGTTGTGACATCCATCAACACATAATTTTGCAGATGTCTGACTTGCCCAGGTAGAGTTGATCAGTTTAGTAAAGGGATTTAGGTGGTAAAGAATATTCTTTTAGGTTTTGTGCTGCCTTTTGGCTCTTCTCTGCTGGAAGTCTCCTCGGCTTCCGCATTTTTGTAGAGTTTATATTTCACTGATACTTATTATACAAATGGGAATAAAACTGGACAATTCATGAAAGCTTTTAAGTTTTATAATGCTCAATTGTTTTAAGCATATGCCATGACCATATTGGTTTCTGCTTGACAACCATTACTTTATTCGAGATAGGTGTTAATTTTTCAATAAAATTGCGTTAATATGTTAATCATTTTGCGAGTCGTGGAGGTATAATAGCATAATTCCCTTTTGTCAAAGAAAAATAGTAACACTTGCGATTTGCGAATTTATCATGTTGTAAATTGTTCTATCCAAAGTTAGTAAATTAAAGATAGTTCTGTTCCGAATTCGCGGCTCTTGTTTTAGCAAGTCGGTTGAAGCCGCCATATTGAGTTACCCCCTAAACACACACACACACACACACACACACACACACACACACACACACACTCCTAAACGGGCTATAACTTTTACATTAATTTCCAAAATACCCCCCCGGCTTCCCTGGGAACTGGGAAGTCTCTGCTCTCCATGTATATTCTGACCGGTCTCCTTCATCAGTCCGTAAAATCCAAATCCAATTTCCCTCGAGTTTCATTTTCCCTCTCCCTAGGGTTTGCCGTTTCAAATTCTCTTTCCTGCCTATGCAATTCTCCTTTTCTTAACGATGCCGGTGAATTTAACGGCGAATGCAATCTCTGCGATAGTCGCCGGAGATGTCAACGCCAAGCCTTTGGTCCAAATCTTGACGTCAAGCTCGCTGGCGCCACTCAGGACCGGTACCGCCTTTTGATCTCCGACTCGGTTCTTGTTCAACAAGCTATGCTTGCTACTCAGCTCAATGGCCTAGTTAAGGCTGGGGGTCTTCGCAAGGGTTCCGTCGTTCAGTTGATCGAGTATATCTGCACTCATATCCAAAATCGCAAGTATGTTTGCTTTTGGAATTCTCTATTATCTTTTAAGATGTTCGCATACTTTTGAATGTTCAAATTTATCTCTCTTCAGTTTTTGGCTTAGTATTTGTTTTTGAGGTAATATTGGATGGAATTTGTAGGGAAATTGTCTTTACATTTTTTTTTCTTTGATGAATTCTCCACCACAACTGCTATGCTGTTCTATAAGCGTCAGAAATTTGAATTTTGTTGGTTTGTGAAGTAGGTTTAATTGTATGTATGCTTGGAAACAGAACTTGCTTAAAAGGAGCAATTCGAGAAATTCTTACTAGGTCTAGCCACATGTCAGGGGACAGAAACAATAGACATTTCATATATGTTTTAAATTGGAGGAGATTCACTTATGCAACTGAGTATTCACCTGTAATTTTTTAATGTGTACTTATGTGATTCTGTATTTGATTGTGTTGATGCCTTGTGATGTCTGGCGTTAGTATCTACCATTAAGAATGCCACTTGTTTCTTTCAGACTTTTGATAATACACGTGCTCCTTTCGTTGCTATATATGGTTGAATAGCTAGAGCTCTTATTTTATCTATGTTATTCCTTTGAGTTCTTTGTACTTGAAAAAGACAATTTCATATTGTTCAAATCGTATTTGCAGGATAATTGTTGTCCTCAACATGGAAATTATCATTCCAGATTGTGACATAATTGGGAACCCAAAAATGTTCGACGAATCAGATTCAGCAGTTCAGAAATCAGTGCCTGAAAGACCTTTGTTAAGTGCAGCTTCTGATAATAACAATAGTCACCTTGGAGCACAAAATGCTGTACATTCCAATGCACCATTTCGTAACAATGTGAACTCCAGCAATTTAGCCAGTAGTGCGCAGAGCTTCCGGCCGGTAGTTCAGCCCCCATACCAACCTCCTCCAAATTTTAAAGGCCACGGTGCTATCATGAAGAATGAAGCACCAGCATGCATCATTCCCATTGCCGCATTGAATCCGTATCAGGGTAGATGGGCTATCAAAGCAAGAGTGACTGCGAAAGGAAATCTCCATCGTTATAACAATGCCAAGGGAGATGGTAAGGTCTTCTCCTTCAATCTTCTTGATTCTGATGGTGGGGAAATACGTGCAACCTGTTTCAATGCTGTTGGTGACCGGTTTTATGATGTTATTGAAGTTGGTAAAGTTTATATCATATCTAAAGGTAGCTTAAAAGCTGCAAAGAAGGATTTCAACCATTTAAAGAATGAGTGGCAAATATTTTTAGAATCCAGTTCGACTGTAGATCTTTGCCCAGATGAAGATGCCATACCCCCTCAACAGTTCTCTTTTAGACCTATTAGTGATATTGAAAGCGCTGAGAATAACTCTAAACAGCAGATAGATGATGATGTAAGTCCGACGTTAGTTCCTGCAACTTGTTATTGATATGAAGCAAAATGCTTCACATGAATTCATTGCTTACAAGAAAAGGTTTTGTTTTCAGGCAAACTTCTGGGAGAAATATAAGATCTAACCGTATTGTTTTGACACTCCCAGCCTGCAGGTGGTCAAATTGAAAGGGGTTCAGATATACTGCAACTGAACGCAATATTTTGGAACTCTTTAGAACGCAAAGTGAGGCTTTAAAGAAGACTGTTTTGATACCTGCAGCTGTTGGGGAGACATCCGAGAGTGGACCTATCGTTCTAGATCCAACCACATCTTCTGAAAACTTTGGCTCTATCCTCGCTTCATTGGTTGTAACGGGTAACTAACTCGTGCCGAGAGGGTGGGTTTTGGACGAAGTATCACTGCTGATGCGTTCATGTAAGAATACTTCACATTTTGGAGTGAAAAATGCACGTGTTTAAGTACTTAGCAAATGAATACTACCCAACTAAACTAGTGACGCAAAATCCTGAGAAAAATACCGCAAATTAACATTTATTTTGAGAATCATTATTAGTTGTGAACTTGTGATCATGTGTTCCAGATATCCTTGTAGGAACAAACAAACAAATTTCATCATCTTGTTTAGACATACAATACAAGTTGTCGATATATTACCCGTCACTTTTATCAGAAACAATCTTCTTTATAAAGCTACTATGGTTTAAAAAATAAAAATAAAAAAATACAGACGGCTACTACGAGACAACTTAAATTTAGGCCCAGCAAAAAAAAAATAAAAAAATAAAAAAATCATCATAATTCGAGGTCAAATTGTTATTGCAAAATTTCCATTCTCATTGACCTGAAAAAGCACACGAGTTTCCTCTGAAAAGTGAAAACTACATCTCCTCATGTTATTGTAATAAAGATTACCAAAAAATAATTTTAAAACGAAATAAATATTTATGGGAAAAGAAAAAAAACCTTACGTTAGATAAAGGATGCATCCAAAAAGCCCTAAACCGACATGGAAACATTTCTCAGAGCCTCCCATCTGTTCTGTTCTCTTTATTTTATTTTGATAATTTTCTGGGAAACCGTGACAGAGCATCCTTTCTGCCTCTGCGGCGTCGGGTTCTGAAGCTGGACCAACCCCTATCTGGTAAAACGGACGGCGCTTCTCCCCGTACGATGCCACGTTTCAGATTGATATTTATATACATACAGAAAATCCCAAAAGGATAAATATCAGGGGAAATTGGTTACTGGGTTATTGGAAAATTTGCATTTTTCTTAAAGATGGACGATGGTGTTGGTATAGACGAGATTCAAGACATAATAGTTGTTTCTGAGAATGAAGAAAGAGAGCAAAGAATGGAAGATGAAATTAAACGGGAAAATGGTGAAGGGCATGGTAAGCTGGGTAATCTGATTTCTAGTTTCTTCCACCATGACGACGGCGGGGCCGATGGAGGAGGAGTACGGCCGCTGCCGGAGGAGGAAGGAGGAGATAAGTTTGTTTCTGGGAGTAAAGAAGCAGAGCAAGGGACTAAAGAAAATGGGCATCACGGGAAGATTGGTGATTTGATATCTAATTTCTTCCAGCGTGACGATGGGAAGGAAGATGGTGGAGGAAAGCTGCCGGGGGAAGAAACTAATAAGGCTGTGTCTGAAGGTGAAGAAGCAAGAACAGAGGAAAATGGGCATCACGGGAAGCTGAGTGATCTGATTTCTAATTTCTTCCATCATGATGATGACCAAGGTGGAAAACAGCCGGTGGAAGAATTGAATCAGGTTTCTGATGAGACACAGACTGAGAGTGGCGGCCGCCGCGGCGACGGTGGTGGCGGAGGGGGCCTTGTTGACAGTCTGATAGCAAGCTTGCCATCATCACTAACAGAGGATGCAGCTCCAGCTACTGATGAGGCCTCTATTCTCATTCATTCCATTGTCCATGACTAGAAAGCAATTGAAAATTTCTTCTTTTTGTTTTGCTGAGGGTTAACAGTGATTTATTTATTTATTTTTTTGTTTTTTTGTTCTTTGGTTAGTCATATAGATAGAGCAAACTCAGTACTGGGTTGGAAACTGTTTTTTGATGATTAAATGTATGACTCACATTGAAGCATTTACTGGATTTCTTTTGTAGTTCTATCGTGCAGATTTTATTGCTCCTCTTCTCGTCAAATTCAACTACTCTTTTAGGGCGAAAAGAGCTTCTTAGGATTTTGTTCGAAAATAATTACTCACTCTGTCCCATAATTATTGTCCAGTTTTAGATTTCACTATTAGTTCAATTTGAACTAGAAATGAAAACCTATATTGGACAATAATTATGGGACGGAGGGAATATCTTGTTGGATGTATGATTGGAACGAGGGAGTATCGTTTACTTATGGATCTTCCTCATAGGACCCTAAAGCTTTCGGTTGATTACTTTGAGTGAATAATGGAATAACCATTATGGTATAAAAGATGCTATCAACAATGATGCGGGCTTGTGGAGAATACAAATTATGTATTGTGAAGGGATAACAAATTGGAAAGAAGGGAATTCAGTACCTTTGTATCTCCAGTTAAAAGCTTCTCATGAGAAGAACAGGTATACACACACACACACACACACTGCCTGCTACATTTTCTCTTTCAAAAAACTCAGAAACAAGATTTTCCCACCAGCGCCATCAAGAATCTTGTCAGGCATATATACCGAAGGGTCACGAGAGTGGTTTCATTTCTAGCATGTCCAGACCAGCCTGATTTGCAAATGCGAACACTGCAGATTCCTGCTTAAACTCCAGCAGAACTACCGACATTGGATTACGCTGCAACTGCTTCAGGATGTTTCCATTAGTCTGAGGGTCGTAAGTAAAGCCACATTAGACTTTAAATAGTACTCCCTCTGTTCCAAAATTATTGTCCTGTTTGAGATTTCACTTTTCGTACAATTTGAACTAGAAATGAAAACTCAAACTGGACAATAATTATGGGACGGAGGGAGTATATATATCCTGAACAATGGCTGTGTCAAAGGGCAGAAAAACACTGCTCTTCTAAGTACCATAAAAAGGGCAGTTCAAGCCAAACAAAACTGGGAATATCAAAACTTTCAAGCCACAACTAAAACCAAAAATCCAGAAACGAGGAGAAGAAGGCAGTATACCTTGCCTCCATTCCAATCATCTGGACACGGTTGACAGCAGTTCCAGTAGGCTTTCCAAGGAACTCTGCCAGGATCTCAGCTACAGCAGCTCTCTTTTCTTAATGATGCATATGTGCATACAACAAAGAACCCTACTAAGTTATGACTGCAACCGAAATCTGGAGAATCTCGACACATGGGGCTCATATTGAACAAATTCAAAAGTACCACAAATCTCAAGTGATAGAAGAATGTAATCATCAATAAATTTATATCATGAGGTGGTTCATCACACAATTAGTGAGTACATCCACAGATGAGTGGGAACAGGGAAGGATGATACAATAACAGGCAACCTTTCACTAGCTCTAATGTGTCCTAAAAAGGAATTCAATTAGGTACATCTGTGTTGTGTAAAACTTCTATACAGACTCAATGTTTGATTATACTACTCAGCGAATGCGGTTCAAGTAAGCAAATGGTTCAGTACTGGTTTTTGGTGCAGGTTTTGCGGCTTCAGCAGGAGTACCAAATACGTTCCAGAATCTGAGGGTTTCATCCCCAGCTGCAGATGCTACAGTACACCCATCAGGACTCTGAGCCATGTAAAGAACTCTCGATGTGTGACCATTAAGCTCTGCTATCTTTACCATGGAAGGATACTTCCAAAGAGTGAGCTGATTCTGAGTAAAACCGTGCGAGCTGAGCAGTTCGCGTTCGTTCTTGTTCCACAGCAACGCGCAAACCTGTGAGCCCGTGTCAACTGAATTCAAGCAAGCCCCAGTGTGAGTATTCCAGAACTTAATGCTTCGGTCGCCTCCACCTCCACCTGAAGCAAGCAAGTTAGACTGAAAAGGGCACCAAGCAAGGGCTTTCACAGCTGCTGTATGATCTTCAAGCCTGTGAAGCCATTGCTGCTGTCTTGCAGCCTGAGTGGAAGCCATGGATCTGTCCCATATGTGGAGGAGATTGTCATTTCCGCCGCTTGCTAATTGCTGACCAGATGCTGACCATTTCAGACCACAAACTTCTTGATGGTGTCCCCTGTAAGTTTCAACTATGTGTGATCGTACTCGGACATCATTGTTAATGATCTTTCCATCCATCCCTCCAGTTGTCAGAATGTGGTTGTTCCAATCCATTGAACCAACACGCGTTTGATGCCCACCTTTCAAAGTTCTCAGCTGCAGCAGGTTAAAGAAAGAAACATAAGTACTTGATGAAAAAACTGGATTAGCATCAACTGGGATGGGGGAAAAAGAGCAGGAGCAACAAACCAGTCTATTAGAAGTGGAGTCCCAAAGCTGAACATCAGAATTGTTCAAACCAACAGCAATGTGTCTTCCATCGGGTGCCCATTTCACACTTGTCACTGGTCCATTTTCATCATCTACCGTCACGAGCTCAGATGTGGCGCCATCCGTAGCATCCCACAAGTAGACAGTGCTTCCAAGAGCAATAGAAAGGACATTGCTGCTGCCCCAGTCCAACAGATTCAAGTAATAATCGTCCAGAATATCAGGAGCATCTAGTGTTCTCTCCGAGGACTGCATAAGCAAATATCGCACGATCAATATCCGTTTCGCTATAATTCAGTTCATTACATAATGGAAGATAAACTTCTGAAGCTAACAGAGAAAGAAACAGTGACTGATTCACCTACCTGAGGGATGCAACGGCGGGGTTTGGCGGCCTTAGAGGTGGCTTGATTAGCAGCATAACCAGCAGAGAGGAAGCCATCAAGGAAAGGATCCACGGGGGTTGGGGGCTTGTTCTTAAAAGCAAGGATCCTGGTTCTGTTCATGTTGAAAGTTTCTGCCAGCAGCTTCCTGTACGCCTCTCTAGAAGGAGAAGAGTAACTTCCTGCAGCTGAATTCGGGTTTTCCTTACCTTTCCTACCTTCAGTAAGCATGTAATGGGCATAGTCAAAATCCATGGCCGATCGATTGGGAATAAACCTATCCAACTGCAGCATTTCAAAAATAGAATCAGAAACAGAAGATAAAAAGAAGTAAGCATCAGATTAGACTACACATAAACATGACATCCGGAAATTTTCATAAAGAAAACTCCTAATGAGCTCCATATCCAACTTTTTCTTAGTGACTGCCACAGCTCCATTAGTGAATTCTGGATTTCAAATTAACATTGGCCTTAGAAAAAAAAGAAAAAAAAAACTCATATTCATCAAATCTTTTTTGGGTGCTAAATGGTTACATAAGTGCAAACATAAAACAAAAGCCCACCTTTATCTGATTGCAGCAACTTCTACTGTTAATAGTAGTTATAGAGAGTAATCAATTCTCAATTCGGTTAAATTAACACAATGAAGTATAGAATATAGATTTACATTAACAAAATTCGCCAAGCACACATAATACAATCTGCGTTTGGTTTCAACAACGTCTTCGAATCGGGATATGAATTCCAACCACAAATATTAAGATCAGATTTAACTTCAAAACATATATACATTTGAATTGAACGACAAGGACCCGAAAAATTAAAACCCTTCTTTGATTCTTTCCTTTCAATTTCATAAGCAACTAGAAAAAAAGAAAAGCAAAGAAGGAAACTTTATGGTCTATAAAAGGGAGTCAAAATAAATTACATTCTCCCTAGAACTTCTTCTTTTGAGAATGTGATGTTCCTGAAGAGGGTAACGAGATCTGGACTTGCTGGCCTGGTTTGAAGAAGAGGACGACATTGATACTGCTGATCCTGCATCCATTATGTTTTATCCCACGAAAACACAAAAATACTGATAAAAAAATTGAAAGGAAAACAAAAATCCAACAAAAGTTACAAAAAATCGGCAGAAAACCCAGAAAGAATTGTCAGCTAGAAAAGTAAGAAGCCTGCAAAACAGAATCCCCGTTAACAAACACAAATCACAAATATAATTTGATAATAAAGAAAGAAGGAAAGAAAACAGAGAGCTTGGCGATCGAATTGCAGAGGTGTTGATTCGCCAATGGATATTGGCGAGTATTGATTGCTTTTGGAAACTCTAAATTAGGGTTCTTCCAAGTAGCCGTTGGAATTTATAGTTTGGGCGAACTGCATTTTACTTCCTAATTTACAACTCACTCCCCAATTTATACACATATTTACATTTTTCCCAAAATTTTATGCTTATTTACGTTTAACCTCCAAGTTATGGCAAGTACAGTACAACTACAAAGTACAAACTCCCCTTGACCCTCAAACATACAAATTCTCCATTTTCGTTTCAACTGATCCATTCTGGTGAGAAAATCATAGAGACCAAAAATATGAGCAAGGATCACTGTCTTAAAACAACAAGAAATCACCATCGTAACGACCTAACGGGTCATTTTGTAAGGATAAATTCTTGCGTTTTTATATTTTAAAAAAATTCTTTACCCCGCAAAAGCTAGTTTTGCATGCTAAAAAGCATAGTGAGAATTATGGTTGAAATGGATTGTGATGCAGAATTAATTTTCTTATAAAATCTTAAACGTCACGATGAAAGAACGTTTATAGCGGAAAATTCCAGCTTCTGTGGAATTTAAATGGTATACAAGACCACGTCTTGGTTGGTCTACAGCTTATTGTTCAATATGTAAAACTAGTGTACCTCATTAAAGAAGGGGATTTCGTTTCTGATCATAACATCCATCTATCTCCAAGCATGGAATGCCAGCAATCATCGGCCAATACTCGCCTTTATCTTTCCGGCACCGGTCTTCCAGTTGCTTACAATTACTAATCTCAAGATGCCAAAGTCCCTCAAGTACGTTTCTGGAAGGCAAGGTCTCAAGTTTAGGGCAGTTCATGATGGATAGATGTTGCAGGGAGGTCAATCTATCAAGACCCTTTGGGAGATACTTGAGACTTGGATGTCTTGCTATAAAAAATGTTGTTATTGATGAGGGAAAGAGATGTTGATCATCATCATCATCATCAAGTGAAATTTGCTTTGGAAATCCACCCCAGATGGAGAACTCTTGTAGAGAGGTGAGCCTGTCAAGTTGCCATTCCGCAAGGGGCCTGAGTTTCTCTAAATCCCAAATCTGAAGCGAGGTTAAACTTGAAGGCAACTCACCTGTGGGAAAATTCTCTAGCTTCCAGCAACTTCGGATTTTCAAGGAAACAAGGGATGAGATGCTGTGAATCTGCGAGGGCGTAGATTTGAGTTGTGGACATGATCAATGGAAAGGATTCTCAGATTTGGCGTGGACAATCCTTGCTCTGGAAACGACTCCAGCGTTTCACAATGAGATATGTGCAGTTCAGCAAGACGGGAAAAATAGTGAACGTTACAAAGTAAAGTTCCGACATTTTTCCATCTGGAAATATAGAGCTTTTCAAGAGACATGTTGCTGTTCTGCTCAAAGAAATCCTCTGAAACTGGTTCTAGAAGCTCAACATTTTTTATGAGAAGTTTCTTAAATTTACTTGGGTTGTTGTTATCAGCTGACCAAGCTCTCAAGTTTGAGCAATCCTTAAGCTCTAGCCTTTCCAGATTAGATAAGCCATTTGGAAGGGAGTTCAGGGCATTGCAACCTTGTATCTCAAGGCGTCGAAGCATAGGAGGGAGACCAACATCTGGAAACACTAGCTTTGGGCAATATTCAACCAATATTTCCCTCAAACTCATCAGCTTACCAAGTTCCACAGGCAAGGAATTTAAAGTTGCGCAGCGAAATATTTCCAAAACTTCAAGATTAACAGGTAGCTTTTGATCCTCGTCTCCTAAGAAGACTATCTCGGAACAATCTGATATGACAAGGCGCCTTAGACACGTAAGAATTTGTGTGGACACACCATTTTCCCATAATGTCAGAATTTCGTCACAGTTCCAAATCTGAAGGGCTTCAAGTTTTCCTGTATACTGCACAAGTTCACTTGAAAGACAAGACAACCCTGTAACTGAATCTAGCTTCAAGTGTGTTAGCAAATTCATATGCTTGAAACTATCTACTATCGACCCGCAGCATCCTTGAAGGTCTAATTCATGAAGAAGAGGAAGACTCAAAGGTGAGACTCTAGCCAGTTTTTGACACTTAAACATGGTAAGTTGATGAAGGCGGGGGAACTGAAATTCAGATTGCTGGTCTCCAGTACCACAAGACCATTCCTCCCAATCAGGCATGCACTCAAACCTCAAAGTCTCCAAACATGGAAATGGGTGTTCCAGAGGACAATTACCTCGCAAAAACTCCTTTCCAATACATTTAATACCTGGCAAGCCCCCTATTTTCAGGTGTTTGAGCGCAGGCAGCTGCCCAAAAGATGGCAGAGATGTGCATTTAGTACAATTAGTGAGGATGATACTATCTAGTAAAGAAAACAGTGGATCACCCATCCAATTTGGAAAGTTCATGCCTCCAAAGAAATCAATCTTAAGCTTTTGCAAGTGTCTATGAGGTTGGAGCAAGTCAAGCACAGAAGATTCTAGAATTTCATCACGAGGATCACCACTAATGTTGCTCCAGATCATATGTAATTCCTCGACGCCTGTCTTAAGCTTTAAATTTGCCTCTTTTGCTTCCTGAATATCAGTTACATTCTGCAATTCGACAATGCTAATTATCCCTCGCAAAAGCGTAAGATTCTTCAACTCAGTTAGCCTCAATCCAGAAGATTTTCCTATAACAATCCTCGGTAAAGTCTGTAGCCTTGTTAATTTACCTATTCCAGCTGGCATTACCTTTAGCTGATCCGTTTTAGCATTGTCAAGATGGCGAAGGTTAACCAGATCGCCTATAGTCTCTGGAAGCTTACAGATAAAACGACAGCCTCTCAATGATAATGTTTGTAAATTGTAAAGATCTCCAAGAGTTGCAGGCAATGATGTAATTTCTGTACCCGAGAGATTGAGGTATCTGAGATGAATTAAGTTGCACATGGAGCTGGGTAGCTCTTTGATTGCAAAACGGCTTAAAGATAGAACCCTCAAGCACTTCATTCTAGGCAGTAGGCTGAGTAGAATTATGTTTGACAGATAGAAAGGAGGCCAAAAATATAATTCACTTTGCATTGGCATTCGTATTAATGTTCTTAAGCCTCGAGCTTTTTACAAACCCTGAAACTTTTTGTAGACTTCATATTCATGACTTCGAAAAGAAGCATGGCGAATATTCTCAGAGAGTTCATGTGACTCATATATACCGACTATTTTATCCAGTCTATGGCAAGTCTCACCAGCAACAAACTGTGCCAAATCATTGATGAGATCATGCATGACAAAACAAGAATCAATGCTACTTAAGCGTTGGAAAAATGACCTGGAAGCTAGCTCAGTGAAACATTCAAATCCAAAATCTTCCATAGTTTTCCTCCCATTTTGTTACTGCAGAAAACCTTCTCCCATCCAGAGCAAGACCAGTTCATACCTGTCAAACTTATAGCCTTTTGGAAAAATAGAACAATATGCAAACAGTTGTTTCAAATGAGAAGGGAGGTGGTAATAGCTCAATCTTAGAACTGGAAGAATTTTGGTTTCTTTAGGCAAATCCCATATTTTGCTATTCAGAACATCTTCCCACTCACCAGGGCTCAGTTTAGAGCGCAAGATCCCTCCGAGGGCCTTTGCTACCAAAGGTAAGCCTCCACATTTCTTCGCCAATTTCTCACCTGATTCTTTCAGACTTGGATGTGCATTGAAACATCTCTCCCCAAGTGCATGCTGAGCTAATAGAGAAAGACAATCATTATATGTTAATAGAGAAAGACAAAGTAAGGTAGAAGAGATCTACAACGGACCAAATCTGCAACACCAGTGAGGCGTGTTGTCACTATAACTTTACTTCCAGGAAGTCCAGTTCGAAAAGGGCAGCACAAAAGATCCCAACTGAGGTAATCCTCATTCCATACATCATCCAAAATGATAAGAAACTTCTCCTGGGAAAGTCTTTCCTGTAAAGCCACTTGAAGTGTATTCAAATCCTTCGACTCAACACTAGTTTGCATCACAGACTCAAAAATCATCTTCGTAAC